AAAGAGCCTCCAGCGCGGCAGAGAGATTTCTCTTCTGGCACAGAGGGCCTCCCAGGATGGCTGGGTTGGAAGGAACCTCTGGAGATGGGCTAGGCCAACTCTCTTGCTCAAGCAGGGTCACCCAGAGCCCAGGATGGTGTCCAGATGATTTCTGAGCATCTCCAGGGATGCAGGAGCCACAACCTCTCCGAGCAGCCTGTACCAGTGCTCAGTGATCCTCCTCAGCTCCTGCATAAGGGATAACAGGCAGGATGAGCCCTGTAGAACACTCTTTTGAAAAACGTTTATGGATCAGTTCTCACAAAAAAGTTAATCTCTTTTTGAAAACATGGTAATATCTGCCTTCCTAGCCATTTCTGCATGTACTGTCCAAGGGCAGGTTGGAAATTGGATCCCCAAATTATGCCTGGGAGGAGGAACAGCCCGCGAGGCTAGGGAGATCAAACACCACTTAGCAGGCTCTGCTCTCAAACACGCGTGTTCACTTGGCATACGTTAGTGCCTTGTAGTCTTTACAGAAAGCTTTCTTAAAGAAAGCTGACATTGCCTCCCATCAAGATAAAATGATCAAAACACCAGATTAGAAACTGGGTCTCGCTGACCTACAATCCATGCTGTCAGCTAGGACATGATCCAAAAATCCCAGGCAAAGAGCGAAGATCAAGATCAGCGAAAGAGCTTCCAATCCACCCCACCGGTAGAGCCAGATCTTGGGAGGAATCGATGGCAGGATCCCGTGGGTGGGATCGCTCCTCGCTCAGGTCCTGATGAGTCAGAGCCAGAGTCACCACGGCCGCAATCAGCTCCCACTAGAGAAGCACGAGGCTGCGGATGGGATTGGTGGCAGCTCTCGCGTCCCCCATCTGCAAGGCCACGCGTCGCAAGCTTCAAGGTCACAGCGGATGCGGCAGCGCAACATCTGTGACGTTCCCCTTCGCTCTTATGCATTTTGCTGGCGCTGAAAATTCACCCCCCTGCAGCTGTCGCTGAGGCCACACAGGCTCTCTTTGGGTTGATTTTAGAAAGCTCTGAATGAAATGATGCCAAGAAGCCACAGAAAGTTAGAGCTCAGGCTAAAAAAAGAGCAACGGACCCACTGCGCTGTGCCTCTAGCCCTGGGGGCTTGCATGCATCAGGAATAAATATTATGCCACGAGCAGGAAACTTTCAAGTTTAGGGACCTTTCAAGAGCAAGTACTTCTGCTCTATGAGGGGGGCTTCCTTAAGGCAACCCATTCCGGTGGACAAAGCTTGTGGTGTTCAGGACTTGCCATACCAAGAAATGAAGATGAAATCACAGAAGGGCTGAGGTTGGAAGCACCTCTGGAGGTGATCTAGTACAACCCTCTGCTCAAGCAGGGTACCTAGAGCACGTGGCACAGGGTGGCATCTGGGTGGGTTTTGAATGTCTGCAGAGGAGCAGACTCCACCACCTCTCTGGGCAGCCTGTTGCAGGGCTTGGAAGAATGAGCAGGGAAAGGAGAAGGCTCCAAGTCTGCAAACCTAATGCAGGACCAGGAGGAACCTTCTGTCCATACTCCTTCCAACTCAACCTTACCTGGAAAAAAGGAAAAATGGAATTGCAGAAGCCTGCTTGCATTGAGAAGACCTCTGCAGATCAGCATATGCAGGACCAAGTGTAGATTTGCTTTCAGGAAAGGATGTGATCCTCAAAAAAAATAAAAATCACAGCAGACCCTGTCACAGGACATAAACGGGGTTTTCTGCAGCTGCCCATATTGTGTCGTTATGTGACAAAAGTCTCTGCAAAGGTTAAAACCTGCTTTAATGTCTGCAGTCAGCAACATATGGCCGGTGGCTTCCCTCCCATTGCTTAGGAGCGAGGCTGGGAAGTTTGTGCTGGCTTGGGGAGGCGGAAGAGGCTTTCTCCAAGGCTTGGCCTCGGAGCTGAGCTCTGCATGGTGCTGCAGGAAGAAGCACAGAAATGCCAGCTCCATTTTCCATGGTGGTCGTGGGCCTGGAGATTCCCAAGGAGCTAAACTCCTCTCCTCTGCTTAGAGCAGCCACGGTGCTGGGGAACAGCCTCATCCATAGCAGAAGAATGTGAGAGATGCAGGACAGTATCCCTAGGCAAGCTCTGGCAGGGACACAAGTGCTTCCCCACAGTGACTTGACTATGGTCAAGAATGGTCCTAAATGGTTGTTCCAAGAAACACTGGTTATTTGACTTTTTCTTTAAGTAAGTGTCTCATCTGTACTAATGCAGCTATGGGCCTATCTCCTTCATTGCAGGCAACCCAACCTCCCCCTAAAATTAAAACTGCTGTAATTTAGTTTCTCAATTTGCCCCTGAAGTGATTTCAGGTCAACCAAACCACGAACAATTTCTGACTGACGGCAGCCCAGTGAGTGCTTAATGGGGTCCAACTGATGCACCAAAAATGGATTCAAATCTGTTCTGCCCATCCTCACACTCATGCAAATGATGAAATTACCACAATTTATGCCAAGATGTCACCTCACACCTCCATGGTTCTTCAAGGGTGGGCAGCTCAGAAACGCGGCCTTTGGGCACCTGAGCTGGAGCTATCCCAGAGATGCTCCATGCATGGAGAAGCCGAAGGCTCTCAGTAGAACAGGCTCCAGGCCACATTCCCTCCAGCCCGGCACCACGTTTGAGGGGCTTCCAGCCTCGTTGCTCACTCAAGCTTTGGGCAAGGGTGTGATGAAGAGCTTGAAAGACCAAGAGCTGGTGCAACCTGTGCCCTCACCATGCGTGGAAGGAGCTCAAGGGTGCTCAGGGCCTGAGTTATTCCTGCTAACAGCTTTGCAAGGGGGAAAACTAAACACACTCAAATGCTTGGAGCTGAGGGCACCCGCTGGCTCCCCAGCCATGGCCCCAGCTCCATCCCAGCTCTCCAGACTGCAGGCTAATCTCCTATTTCATTAATGGGTTCCTGCATGGCACTAATTATGCCGGAGCCAGATTCCCAATGCAGTCACCAAACGTCTTGCGTGACAATTATTGAAACTGATGCCTGGGTGAGGTTTTCCATGCGCTCCTGAAACTCAGCAGATGCTGCTAACCCCACCCTGGCTTCCAACATTTGCCGCCAAGGGCGACCTGCGGGTACCTCTTCTTCCAGGGAAGGGAGATGCACCAAGAGCTGCATCCATAGGGGAAGGGAAGCAGCACATATGGAGTGGTGGCACAGCTGAAGACTCCTCTCACCCCACTGCTTTGGGGTTTTAACTTGCTGAATAAAACCTAACTAACTCCAGCCCCACGCTGAAAGCATCAATAAGAGCAGACTGCACACCTAAGAAAGGTGGTAAAAATTCAAGTGTGTTTTTTATTTTCCCTTAAAGGAGGAAGTGTCACCATTTCACAAGGGCTCCAAGGGAACGGCATTGCTTTTATTTTTAAAATAAGGGAAAGTGAGTTGACTGAAATAGCACAGCTCAATGGCAAAGCCAGGAATAGAAGTGAAATCCCAGGGCCTAATCCTCTGCTCTAATCATCGGCCTGCAAGCTTCCATACCCTTAATTACAGCCACCGCTTCTAATAAAAGTTTAACGATGGTTTCCTTTGCAGTTATGTAAACTGTATTTTGGGTCGGGCAATCTACGTAAGCGCTTTGCTGCATT